CTGTGATATTCCAACTCTTGCTGTCCATGATATAATAATGACATCTCACTGAGAGACACAGTCTATGTGGACTGTATATCTGCCCGTGGAGGTAAGAGAATGAGCAAATATATACGGATTCACTATGCAAAGTACTATACCAGTATCTAAATTGCACACGTATCACTCTCAGCGATTCTCCTTTTATGGGAGATGAGTTGTGAATGAGATCCTAAATGAAGATAAGATAGGGACATAATGCTGTGAGGTCGATAATATTATCATCGCCTCAGCCAGTAATACTGCACAACAATGACCCAGTATAAATTTCTCTGTTGTCGCTATCTTAAATATATACATACAAATGTCTTAAGAACCACACTTTACTTACATTATTTTACACTGTCTCATGAATTAGCAGAAAACAGGCTATAGCTATAGGTCTAGTATTGTTATATTGAGGCATTATATAGAACATGGGGTGATAAGCATCAGGGGCTTTGTACTAGTACTGTGATACTACTTGTGATTCTGCTGCACTTTGTTCAGGAGACATCTCAATATCTGGAGGAGTGATATTTGACCCTAGCCAGCTGACCCTCACCTGTATCTCCATTGGTGGACCTGCTACCACTGTCACTTGGACCAGAGACTCCACCACTGTCACCCAAGGAACAGACTGTGTTGAATGACCCAGTGACTGCACAGTACACCCACACTCTGACTGTGACTACTGCAGGAGAGTACACGTGTACTGTGGCTAACAACAAGCCATCCTCAGCTTTATCAGCTAGCACCACTGTACCAGGTATATACAGTCAGTACTATGTACCCATAAGCCAGTGTTGAGATTGTGCCTAGTCATTGTACACATGGCCAATGACATATTTTACATGTGTCTATAAATATGCCCCAGGAATCGTTTTCACATCCACTGTAGAGAAAACTCTAGCTGGGTTGTAACTTAGATTGTCACATGACTCCTTGAATGACAACACCACTTAATGGGCATGGAGCACATGTATACCGTAATGAATCGAAGGAACTCATTAGTTGTATATTAACTTTACTTCAATCAAATGAAACTTTAGTAAAGAACATTGGCCGCCTAGCAATGTGTTTAAGAGAGTGATTCATTTGTCTGTGCCATGGCTCCTTGTGGTCCGTCATGCATTTTAATTTAGGTCCCCCATCTCCCACTGCTGTGACAGCAGTCCAGGATGGTCCCACTAGTATCACAGTGACTTGGACTCCTCCCTCTCCACTGGATGGTATCACTGGCTACACCATCTCCTACACTGGAGGAGGCGGTAACAATGAGACAACTGTCAGTGGTGGAAACACTATGAGTCACACTCTGACTGGTCTCACCAATGGAGAGAACTACACCATATCCATTGTAGCTACAACCAATGGTCTTTCTAGTGCACCAGTACAGGCCACTGTTGGTTTAGGTATGTTCCACTTGTGTGTATGTAGGAATATCTCTTCCATCTGCTGAAAATGTTACATACATGTGCCACGATTGTGTGTTCTTCAAATTTCATACTGAGACTCTGTTCCACAGTTCCTTCAGCTCCAGTCCTCGACTCAACTCCAACAGTCACTACCTCTACTGTCACCATCACCGGTAGTGTTCCAAGTGGCTCAGTGGTGACTGGCTATGTGGTCCAGTGGCAGAGAGACACCTCACTTGTCTGTCCTGATCTGAGTGATGATGGTAGTATCGCTGTGACTAGCAGTAGTTTCACTAGACGTACAATAACTGGACTGGAGCCTGGCAATAGGTACACCATCACTGTGACAGCCTCTAATGGAGCTGGTAGTGGTCCTGTCAGTACTGCTGTTACTGCAATGACTGAGGAGGCAGGTAAGGCGTACTGTATAATTCCCTAGTTCCTTACAATATGGTTGGTGTTACTCTCCACAGCTCCCACTGGTGCTCCTGGTCCAATCACTCTAGTTACAGTCACACTAAACAGTGCCACTGTCCAGTGGGGAGAGGTGCCTTGTCCCCAGAGAAATGGAGAGATCACAAACTACACAGTTACTGCAACCAAATTGGGTGGAATGGAGGAAGGAACTGCTAGTGTTGATGCAGATGCTAGACAAGCCACAATCTCTGGACTGACTCGATCCACAATATATACTGTGTCAGTGGCTGCAGTCAATAGTGCTGGTACTGGACCTTCCACTACCCTCCCTGTAGAAACTCCAGGTGAATATTGCTCTGTCGTCCCAACTTGCAACAAAATTATTTGATCAAGCCTGAAAGACTTACCCAGCCGATGTTTAGTATACTCTGTGGTTGTCTCATTCTCTTCCCACCAGATGGACTGACTGTATCAGCCACTGGCTCATCCTCTACCTCCCTCACCGTCTCATGGACACTGGAGGACAGTTTGACTGCTACCTCCTACACCATCTCCTACTCCAACACCAACAACACGGACTGTTTCAATGACTCCAGAAGTGATATCCCTGCTAGTGGGACATCACACACTCTGGATGATCTAGAGGAGGCAACAGAGTATTCTATCACTGTCACTGCCACTCTGACTGGGAATGGAGGGACTCAAGAAGGCAGCACAACAGCCACACTGCTGACTGCTGTGAGTCACTTGTGTGTTTATCCCTCTTTATTTAACCTCTCTCACTCATATGCTCCACTCTGCCCCTCCTTCTTCTGTAGAGTCTTAGTCAATAGTTCCACTAGTATCACATCCAGTGGGACCAGTGGAGTGCAGACATCAGAATGGAGAGTTAACAGACTACTGGGTGAGGTATGGAGTGGAGGGGAGCAGCGAGGAAGCCAGGAGTGTTCAGATGGTGTCAGGAGACTCCAGTGGAGGAATGACCACAGTGTCTGGACTGACTAGAAAGACAGTCTACACTGTGCAAGTGGCAGCAGTCACCAGCTCTGGTAGTGGAAATTACAGTGACCCTCTCATGATCCAGACTCCTGATGGTGGGTAGACTCTGTGGTTATAGTTTCAGATTGCGTATGAAGTGAAGATTACGTGATATTCTTTCATTGTCCAGCACTTTGAAGAGACACCATGTGCACATGTCATCATTAAATAGTTTTGCAATACTGTGCATGAATGCTATTCTACATTCCACATGTGTGTTCTGAATTTCTGTGGTACTCGTCACTCACTCCACCATCCACAGATGTCTCCTTCCTCCGTCTGAATGGAGCTGTCATCCCTAATAACGGCCTTTTGAATATCAATGATATTGGTTCCACTGATGACACTGCTTTACTGTGTATCACTAACCGTCCTCCACCATCTGGTAGTACTATTTCTGGAGGAGACTGGTATGCTCCAGATGGGACCAGAGTGGGTGACAAAGATAGTACTGATGTTCCAGGATTCGTAAGAAACAGAGATCCTATGATAGTGAGACTGAAGAGGAACACTGGTACTGCTACTGCAGTTGAAGGACTATATCGTTGTTCGGTACTGATGCTGATCTCGCACACCCCATGTCGGAGCTTTATGTAGGACTGTACACCAATGAAGAGGTATATCCATGCGACTTTAGCACGTGCATCACCAGACTGGTTCGTTTCAGGTCGAATCAATCTATCTACACTTCCTCACACTCCATCACCAGTGAGCAGTCCCAGTTGCACCGCTCACCTGTATCTCTCCCTGACAGTGACCTGCTACCACTGTCACTTGGCCCAGAGACATCGTTGAATTTCACTGGAGAAGTGCAAAAGACGGTGTTGAATGACGAGACTGCAACCTAGACGCCACACCTTGATGTGCCACACAGCAGGAGATTACATATGTACTGTGTCCGATATTGCTTTCTCTGCTTCGGCTACTATCTCATAGCAGGTATTATTATGTGATAAGCTGATTTTAATCAGGTCAAGTCTCCAGTAACATCACCTCCACTGGTGTGACATGCAGTCCAGATGGTCCCACTAATCACAGTGACTTGACTCCTCCCTCTCCACTGAGATGGTATCAAATCACTGCGACACCATCTTCTACACTGGAGAGGCCGTAACAATGAGACAACAGTCAGTGGTGGAAACACTATGAGTCACCTCTGACTGTCTCGACCATGGAGAGACCTACACCATATCCATTCGTGGTCTACGTCTCCACCCAAGCTGGCAAGTTCGCCCGCATCTGAAACACAGTTAGACTAGTGGTGAGTCATAGAAGGACGTATAGTGTGTGACGTTTGACCTGTGTTCAATCTCTGTAGTGTCCACTCGCAGCCGCAGCTCAGTTGGTGGACACCATATCCACTACGTTGTGGCCACAGCAGATACAATAACTCTCTCTGGGCCGTTCCTCCTGATGTAACTGCTCAGATGACTGAGCTAACAGAGGAGAGGAGAGAAGACGATCCGCAATGCTGAGAAGGGACTAGTGGACCACTCTCTGCAGACCAGAACAGCTACACTATCGACAAGCTGAGGATTGGAGCTATTCATTGCCATCACAGTCACACGTCTTCAACCCTGCTGGGAACTCTTCCACCACCTTCACTCGCTCTACTGAAGAAGGAAGTGAGTTTCAGGGACATTTCACTCAGAAACACAGCTCTATCTTATCTACACACACACACACACACATCCAGGTCCCACATCGTCCCCTAATGAAGACAGTGGAGGCTCAGGTGTAGGAGGAATAGTGGCTGGAGTCATAATAGCCATTGTCCTAGTGGTTGCCGTTGTAGCAATCAAATCGTGGTGGTGTGGCTGGTCAAAGAAGGTCAGTCTCACCTCCAGTCACCACTGTATTTTATATGTATGTGACCTCTGTCTGTGTCATCAGAGCAGAGCTGTCAGCAGTATGTTACCAGCAAGGAGACAGTGTGCGCTTCTCTGCCAAAGACAGCAAAGTGTCTTCTGATGAAGGTCAGTCCACACATCTTTAACCTTAGTCTTGTTACTCAATCCTCCTCTGAAGGTCAGTTGGTCTTTCTGCAGAGTTTTACCTTAGTTTTTACTCAACCTTTTTCACCCTCTCTCACACTCAGCCATGATAGTGGAGTTCCCAGAGGACACCCTAGTCCAGGAGGGAGAGGGGGTAGTGCTCAAGTCGAGGTAACTGGAGTACCCCACCCCAAACTGACGTGGTACCACACGAGTAGAGGTGGTGCCGGATTACTCCAGGGAGCTGGCAGAGGACGGGACTCTCACACTGCCCTCTTGCGGAGACCAAACACGCGGATGTACCAGCTGTGCCAGGAACATAGAGCAGTGTCGAGAGAGAGATGTGAACTGTCAGTAGAGCAGGAGGTGTGGCGGAGGGAATCGCTGCTGAGGAGCGTCCTACGAGACTGTGGCTCTGCGTGGTCCGGTTCCCGTGGCTGTATTCGGGAGTCACGTGGAACAGCGACACTCAAAGAACAACAAACCATTCAAGAGGAATATGAGGTGGGGCTATGACTATCGTTGATATTTCCTCCAAGAATTGTCTTGGTATGAGTGGCTGGTCAAGCATTGGAGTGGTGTCTGTGTGTGTCGTCTCTTCTTTTCTTACTCCCACTGGCATTACACTGACTGCTGTTACACTGATTGCTGTTGATTGCAGGGACTGCCCACTTACGCGGATAAGCCCGTTACCGTAGCTACCACTCCTGACAATAAACTCAAGAACCCGCTTCGCCCAACATCTGTGTCTGTGAGTACACCTCTATCGCTCTCCTTTCCCTGTGTACATCTCTCGCTCTCCTTTCCCCTGTGTACATCTCTCGCTCCCCTTTCCCCTGTGTACATCTCTCGCTCTCCCTTTCCCCTGTGTACATCTCTCGCTCCCCTTTCCCCTGTGTACATCTCTCGCTCTCCTTTCCCCTGTGTACATCTCTCGCTCTCCTTTCCCCTGTGTACATCTCTCGCTCTCCTTTCCCCTGTGTACATCTCTCGCTCTCCTTTCCCCTGTGTACATCTCTCGCTCTCCTTTCCCCTGTGTACATCTCCCACTCTCCTTTCCCCTGTGTACATCTCCCGCTCTCCTTTCCCCTGTGTACATCTCACGCTCTCCTTTCCCCTGTGTACATCTCCCGCTCTCCTTTCCCCTGTGTACATCTCCCGCTCTCCTTTCCCCTGTGTACATCTCTCGCTCTCCTTTCCCCTGTGTACATCTCCCGCTCTCCTTTCCCCTGTGTACATCTCTCGCTCTCCTTTCCCCTGTGTACATCTCTCGCTCCCCTTTCCCCTGTGTACATCTCTCGCTCCCTTTCCCCTGTGTACATCTCTCGCTCTCCCTTTCCCCTGTGTACATCTCTCGCTCCCCTTCCCCTGTGTACATCTCTCGCTCTCCTTTCCCCTGTGTACATCTCTCGCTCTCCTTTCCCCTGTGTACATCTCTCGCTCTCCTTTCCCCTGTGTACATCTCTCGCTCTCCTTTCCCCTGTGTACATCTCTCGCTCTCCTTTCCCCTGTGTACACCTCTCGCTCTCCTTTCCCCTGTGTACATCTCTCGCTCTCCTTTCCCCTGTGTACATCTCCCACTCTCCTTTCCCCTGTGTACATCTCTCGCTCTCCTTTCCCCTGTGTACATCTCTCGCTCCCCTTTCCCCTGTGTACATCTCTCGCTCCCCTTTCCCCTGTGTACATCTCTCGCTCCCCTTTCCCCTGTGTACATCTCTCGCTCTCCTTTCCCCTGTGTACATCTCTCGCTCTCCTTTCCCCTGTGTACATCTCTCGCTCTCCTTTCCCCTGTGTACATCTCTCGCTCTCCTTTCCCTGTGTACACTCTCGCTCTCCTTTCCCCTGTGTACACCTCTCGCTCTCCTTTCTCCTGTGTACATCTCCCACTCTCCTTTCCCCTGTGTACATCTCCCACTCTCCTTTCCCCTGTGTACATCTCACGCTCTCTTTCCCCTGTGTACATCTCTCGCTCTCCTTTCCCCTGTGTACATCTCTCGCTCTCCTTTCCCCTGTGTACATCTCTCGCTCTCCTTTCCCCTGTGTACATCTCTCGCTCTCCTTTCCCCTGTGTACATCTCTCGCTCTCCTTTCCCCTGTGTACATCTCTCGCTCTCCTTTCCCCTGTGTACATCTCTCACTCTCCTTTCCCCTGTGTACATCTCTCGCTCTCCTTTCCCCTGTGTACATCTCTCACTCTCCTTTCCCCTGTGTACATCTCTCACTCTCCTTTCCCCTGTGTACATCTCTCCATATCTGAAATCCCTCCACATCTTCTGTTCCAGATGATGACAACCGCGTAGTGCTGAACCCACTGGCCAAATATGACTCTGACTATGTCAATGCCAGCTATGTTGATGTAAGTCCCTCTCTTGTGGAAACTAAGGCTCCTGTCTAAACATGGCTTTTCTCTCTAGGGCTACAGTACCAAGGGCAAGTTCATCGCCACTCAAGGTATGTGTGTGTGTGTTGTGTAAGAGTGTATGATGTCATTGCCTCCTCCCCAGGTCCCCTACCAAAGACAGTGGTTGACTTCTGGAGGCTGGTCTGGCAGGAGAGGGCCCCCACCATTGTCATGATAACGAACCTGGTGGAGGGGACCAAGATAAAGTGCCAGCAGTACTGGCCCGAGGGCGGGGCCCAAGGATTTGGACCGTTCCAGATCACCGTCACTGACCAGCAGACACTGGCTGACTATACATTGCGACGTATTCTGGTCCAGGTGTGCTTGTTTTATCTTTATGGTGTCAACATTGAATTTCACTCTCATTTCATGGTAAACAGCTGAAGGGAAGTTCAGAGCGTCCACTGAACGTGAGTCAGTTCCACTTCACTGCCTGGCCGGACCATGGAGTGCCCGACTATGCCACGCCCATCCTGACCTTCCACAGGAGAGTGATGAAGGAACACAAATCTGGACCTATTGTCGTCCATTGCAGGTCAGCCCCTTAGAGAACTATCTTTGTGTAATACATACGTTCAGGACAAGTCAGAGTAGAGTAAGCTAAAAGGGGTTTTCTACTGGTCTTAGAATAATGGTGCATGGTTAACCAAACCAAAGAACACCAGCACATCTTGATTAGCATAAAGAAGGCCAAGCTTTATATACTGTCGCCCCGCTCTCTCCTCTCCTACCAGAGCTGGATGTGGGCAGGACTGGAACATTCATCACGATAGGACCAAGCCCTCGAGGCAGTGGAGAAGAGGGAAAAGTGGACATTCCCTGAATCAGAGCTAATCTGAGGCAGCAGAGACCAGATGGTTCAGCACACCGGTATATGTTGTGTTAGCTGGTCTCTCTGCTCTCTCGCCTGTGTTTCAGTTGCAGTGTTTGTAGTGTGCTGGAGTTAGTCCACCGTGTACACCCCACACACATCACCAACCAGCGGGGTGCTCTTCTAGGGACAACAAGGTGTTTGTATCGTCCTTTTGTACTTACTGCGGTTGTGTTGTGTTCAGATATGTTGCCCATAGCTCATGTCTTGTGTGGTGTTTACATTACCGTAGAATGCCTGGCATTCCTTGTGTCCACTCTGATGTGTAGGTGTGTGTGCGGTGCATTCCTTCTAGTAATTATTATTCTATTTCTCTATTTCCCTCTCATGGTGGTCACAGGACCAGTATATCTTCATCCACGATGCCATCCTGGAGGCAGTCACGTGTGGAGACACTCAGGTGGAGTCTGGAGACCTGAGGAAGATTCTGGGCCGGCTGCAGAGGCGAGACCAGTCAGGGAGAACTGATATGGAGATACAGTTCTCTGTGAGTCGACGGACAACATGGCACACCTCTCACCACTTTCTCTCTCCATTTCTCTGTCTGTCTTGTTAACTCTCCCAGGTGTTGGAGCAAGTTAGTCCCAACCCTCAAGATGCTAAGGTGTCCGTGGCTCTCAAACACCCAAAGAAAAACCGCTCCAAAAACTTCCTGCCTCGTAAGCTCTTCTGGCACTCTCTCAGTGATACATGTTCTAACCTTTGTCTGTTGCCTAGTGGACAAGTGGAGGGTGCTGATAAAGGGAGAGAGTCCAGATTATATCAATGCTAGTGTGGCTCATGTAAGAATACTCTTTTCTCTGGAGAAGTGTATGCATACTGAGGCTGTGTTCTGTAGGGCTACAAGCAGCAGAGAGCCTTCATCATAGCTCAGAATCCAATGCAGTCCACTGCCAGAGATTTCTGGAAGATTGTGTGCGACAGGAAGTGTGGAGTGTTGGTGATGCTGTGTGACCTGGTGGAGACTGGGAAGGTGGGAGGCCATACAGCAGTATTGCTGTGGTGTTCATGGCATGTGTGTGTGTGCAGGAGACATGCTACCAGTACTGGCCTTCCAGTGGCTCCATCACAGTTGGAGAGTTCACTGTGGACCTGATCCAGGAAGAAAGGCTCTCTGGATTCACTATTAGGAACTTTGGAGTCTACGATGAGAAGGTAAGTCTTCTCCTTCCTCCACTGCTCCAGTTGTGACCTACTGGTGTCACCACAGAGCAACAAGTCCCACCAGGTGACCCAGTTCCACATCACCAACTGGGCACCAGATGGGAACTGCTCCAACATCAAGACCGTCACTGACGTGATTGAGGAGGTCGGTAAGGTGCAGAGGAGGACCGGCAATCACCCCATCATGGTCCACTGCAGGTACACTCGCCCTCTCTGCCTCAAGCCATGCAAGCCTGTTTATTCTGCAACGTAGTGCATCTTTTCTTGCATACTTGTTGCTAATCAGAATACACTGAGAAACATACATATTAGTGGCAATACTTCCCCAAGTGTTTTTGTCAATAATTATCCCTTCCTTTACTGCAATGCTGTGTGTGTTGTGTCCAGTGATACAGTGAGCAGGTCAGGGATGTTCTGTGCCATAGCCACCACCATTGAGAGGTGTAAGACAGAGGGAGTGGTGGATGTGTTCCAGGTGGTCAAGGCTCTCCGTGTACAGAAACCTGGAGCTGTATGCACTGTGGTATGTCACCTACTATCCCTATAAACCAATGTATTGAGTTACCTCCAATTTGTTTCATCTGCAGCTGCAGTACAGGATAATCTTTGAGGCTGTTTTGGAATACCTCGACTCATTTGCACTCTACTCAAACTTTTAACTGACTGAGAAATTATGTCTTTTGCAAACTTTGTCTCCTCTTACATATATAGGTTATACTGCGCGTCAATGGAAATACGCGATTTAGACGGCACGAGGGGCCCTGAGCTGTAGCTGTCTGAGCGCAGCGAAGACGCTACTAAGGGCTCCGAGGCCGTCTAAATCGTGTATTTCCATTGACAAGCAGTATAACCTGTTTAGAGGGAGGCCGTGCCGGCCTTTAAAATCGTCCAGGTCCGCCGTCTTCCGAAAGACTCGCTCTTGCCGGGGGAAGCTAAAAAGGTCTTCAGTTTAGTTTCTTTTTGCATCGTAGAGAGGCCTTTCATCGAAGAAGCATCGGATATAGCGAGTTTGAAGTCGTCGCGGCGAGCTCTCAGCGACAGAGCGAGTTTCTTTGGGCGGAAGCTTGCCACACCCCCATCGAAGACGGCATTTTTGGCGGGCGTCTCCATGGAAACACGCACTTGGAAAATACGGGATTTAGAATTAAAAAAAATAAAAAAAACAATCTTATTTGTCAATTTGAATCTGCCGACGTGTAAGTAGCTTTATTGGCGAGCGGGAGCGAGCCAACCTAGTCGTTCGTTCGAGCGGAATTTTCTGTGTATGTCGTACGTCGTGTAAGTGCGCATGCGCGGCTTGTACGCGCTTCTTTTTATCCGAAAATATTTCCAAATTTTTACGCTTTTTCACACACGGTGCCGGCCATATGCCAGCTGCCTGGTGGACCACGACTGACGAGCTGAAAGCGTAAGGTAAGTACCGTTCTGCTCACCTGCTCACCGTTCTGCCAATGTACAGTACGCATGTAACGCTGAGCCTGCCA